ATCCACAGCCTAATGTATAATATCATATTGTATTACAAATATATTCGACCTAGTTGTGTCACAGACTATAGTCTGTGGTTGTGATGTGAATTAGTTTTAATTTGCAATTTACGGGATTTTTAGGACTTCTTAAGTACTTATTCAGAAATAAGTGTAATCATCATGACTGAATTAGTTATAAAATGTTATTTCTTCATTATAAATGTACTTTCTCAGAATATTATATATTGAGGCTTTAGCTTATTATGTTTATGTAGATGCCAGACATACAATCGTAATTCGTAAGCAGTGACAGCAAATACAATAAAATGTATATAGTATAATTTGGTGACAGCGATTAGAGAATCGTAAAAAAAATCATGAATTGATATTAAATTACCTATAGATATAATATATGTATAAAAAATTTGAATTTATTTTTTGAAACAACTATATCTCTTTTTATAGAAGTCGTATATTATTGGAAACACATATATTCGATCGAGAACAACTTGTTCATGAAAAAACGTTCTATAGTAATTATTCATAAGTTTCGTWATTTAGATTATAATAATAAAAAAACAATAAATTTCCTATGCTGTACATGTAAAAACGACATCACTACTGTCCGACGCGCATTCTGGCGGAATGCGATAATTCCGGACCATGTTTTTTGTATTTTACGCTTCATTCGGCTGTGTTCGGCGTCCTTCCTCTAATGTACATGGTATAATTATATTATAATTATTGTACATAATTGATGATAAAATCTCTGCCAGAATGAGAGGCAATGATTAAAATCAGTCTTTCTCTCTTCCACTTCCACTCTATTTTATTGACATAGCCATGGTCTATCCATTCTTTAATATCTATAGTATATCCCCGATATACGTCCTTGAACGCAACCTATCGGCCTGGCTCCCACACAACTAAATTTCTGGTTCCCATTTCACTTTATAAAGCGTTAACACTTGGACTATCTATGTATATTTAATCAATGATTTAAATTTCTTGGGAATACAAAGTGCAGTCTTCATTGTGTATTCTAAAAGTATATTTTTTCCGAATTTCTTTTTTGATCCCTAAAAATCATTTGCCTGCGGGCGTCAGTACCCTCTTTCCTTTTTTTTTTTTCAAAATAAACCTCTAGTTTAAATTTGTGGTCACAATTTTCAAACTTTATTAACCAAGTCCCAAAAAATATATAATTTTATCATGATTTTATTGTTCTTGATATTTTATTTCATTTATGACCGCAATTTATTTTTAATGCAGGGTGTTCGCGCCCCGTACGTGCCCCGACTTCCAGTTCGGAATGTTGGCGGCACTGACCAACTGGTTGCCGCCGACGGCGCCGCCGCTCGTGGCGTCGTCGCCATAT